ATTTATCTATATATTGACATCATTGGAATTTTTCAAGATTAAAACTTACTAACAATAAGCATATACACTTTATAATAGCACGTGAATCTTTACATAATCTCTAATAATAGGGTTAACTAAATGTCCATCAAAATTTTTTCATACAGAAGACCCTAACTATGTATCTTTGATTTTATATAAGTACAAAGAAATGATGATCAAGTGGTTGAAATTAATTATCAGTGTATGAAACAGTGAAGAAAATCATAATCTCGGTCGTCCAATGTGTATGAGAGCATTAGCAAATGGATATCGTGACATTTTTGTTGTAGCAATGAGCAGGATCGTGTCTCTCATTTAATCATTCATCTGTAGTAGATTCGCAGAAAAAATACATAAATATTTACTTTCTATGCTCTCTATTTTCACATCGTAATTTATTTCTTGTGAAGTAAAATTTCGATTTAAAAAAAAAAACAAATAAAATTGCTGTTTAATCTGTACAATTTTTTTTTGCATGATTTTTAAACAATATATAAGGAATGCTACATTCATATAAATCGTAAATCTTATTTGATATTAAATAAAACTAAAGTCAGTAGGTACGCTTACTCAATTTTGATCATCGAATGAAATTGTAAACCAAGTAGCAACTCGTCGAACGTCACATACAGTGGGTCCCAAAATTGTTCAACAAGGTGTAGTTTGGAATTTTTTTGTAGCCTTAAGTGCTAGAAAGAGTCCAAATAGTGATTTGAATAGAGAATATTGTTGTCAACAAGAATTTGAGAAAAAGATAACCGTCATGAATTTTTCCAAAATAGAATTTCTGGAAAACCAAAACACTGGTTTTTTAACATCCAGAAGCCGCAATAGAAAACTTGTTCTAACAGTCTAAAATTATGCAGCAGCCAATTCTCTACAAAATGAGACGTCACCGAGCTTTCTAAGATCTTCCCTTCAAAAGTTATAAGCGTCGCAAGAATCGACAAAATGCGTTTTTTAGTCGATTTTCTCATAAATTTCACTTTTTTTCGATTTTTGTGACGCTTATAACTTTTGAAGAGAAGGTCTTAGAAAGCTCGGCGACGTCTCATTTTGTAGAGAATTGGCTGCTGCATAATTTTAGACTGTTAGAACAAGTTTTCTATTGCGGCTTCTAGATGTTGAAAAACCAGTGTTTTGGTTTTCCAGAAATCCTATTTTGGAAAAATTCATGACGGTTATCTTTTTCTCAAATTCTTGTTGACAACAATATTCTCTATTCAGATCACTATTTGGATTCTTTCTAGCACTTAAGGCTACAAAAATAAATCCAAACTACACCTTGTTGAACAATTTTGGCGCCCACTGTATATGCTATCAATTATTTAGAATTCTTTTGTGACTAGAGTGATGAATTTAGTTTATTTAAAGTTAAATGAATAAGTTACGTGTAGAACAATCAACTAGTAACTACATTGTATCTTCTGACTTGTAATGAGTTTACAGTTGTCACAACTACTCATTCTAAGGCCGTCTATGCTATTTCTGTTACTGACATTTTTATTTGTAAGGATTTTTGATCGATGAAGCAATCACTTTATCTAAATCTTGGGGATTCATTGGTCATCTATGCAATGGATTATGACATGTTTACAGTGTCTTCTTCTCTACCATCATCAAAACAACTATTTAGGTGTTCTGTCATAGTTAAATTTTTCAAGAATTGCCGTGGTAAGTGTGCTCATCTAGAGCTTGACAGACAATCAAATATTCAACATTATTTCATATTGGTCTTTACTTCGATCTTCGACAATCGATTGGCATTGATCAACATTCACGCTGGAAATTGTCATCCTTGACACTCAACATATACGAACCATCATTGTTTAGTTAAATAGATTCTTCCTGGAAGTTAAAACAGAGCTATTGGATTAGAGGTTCATGGAAATTTTGATGTAGTTAGAATAGAGAATATGAATTTCTTCTTGATTCATTGGATGTATGCTTTCAAACAATTGTAATGTAGAATAAAAGTCAATATCGAATCTGATAAATTGCAGTTTCAGTGCTAATATTCTTGAAGATTTCTTTTAATGTTTCTAAAGCAAAAAGTTTTTCATTTGAATGAATTTCATTATATCGAACCAAAAATATGTAGTTAAAGGATACAATATCCCGTAGTTTTCTCTTAGAAGGTGAATCCAATACCATCCATTGGTAGGTATCTATGAACTACTACGAAAATTTTCTGAAGAAAAAGTCAAAATTCAAAATAAATCTCTTCAATGTTGATTTATTCTAAATATGGATTATCATGACCACTCAATATATATTAATGAAAGACGAAGAGAAATATGTACAAGGTGCATCATTTTTGTGTCGGACAAGTGAAAAACTATATGCCTCGGATAATATATTATCATAATTAACATCATATGACATAAATATCCATTGTCGGCTCGTTAGTACTTCTCAACTTGCGATTTAATACATCTATATCTCTTCAAAGCTTTGCATTATTTGTGATAATCTTCTAGCCATCTTTATGTTTCGTTACTCTTAACGGTACTAAAACTCATATTGACGCCATTCTTCATCAAAACAAATAATATATAGGCTTACAATTGCTAATTGTTCAAAAGAATGCAAATCAAGTTATTGAATGTAAACCTAATGCACGATTCATATTATCTTCAATGCATTTTGATTACTATGTTAAAATCATTGCAACATCATTTTTTGAGAAATAAGATGTTTATTCAGTAACTTTTTTTTGTAGATCCAATTGCTTACACTTAAATTTGACAAACCAATGCATGTACAAAAGGAATTTGCCATTAGAATCGACAAATTGATATGTATTCAAGAAAAAAATCCGAGTACTTTCATAAACATCAAACTAATCAGACATCTACTTCCTAAATTTTCATTCAGTAAATCGAACCTCATCGGTTTTAGAAAATCCAATAATTTCACTATGGCAGCAGTTCTGTAAAGTGCACACAGTCGATGATCATGCGGCAATGAAGGATTTGATGAAACAACAAGAAAAATTCAGCTTAAAAAACTAGACACATGTTCGGTTGCTGATAATTTTATCATTATTAAATTTGGCTATAGTAGCAGATTTTCGTCCAGCTTGTGGGCAATATTAGTACTTCTCTATATTGCTAATAAGCAGCGAGTTAGTAGTCACGTATCTTACTCAACCTCAGATGCTCAACAAGTATGCTGCATACTAATGATACTGAAAGTTAATCAAGAGTACAATCAGAAAGCACTATCGGGATTTGTACTAACTTTTTAAATTAATGAAAATAAATCAAATTCGTTATAGAATAAAGATCAACGAAATAATTAATATATCGTCATGTCGCCATTCAGTGGGGTCATTGTTCGTTTTTTTTCTTATTTTACAATGTCGCTTCTATTTTTTTCCTAACTTTGCTTATCAATTATAAATAAAAATGAACTGAAGCTACTTGAAAACGATTGAGATATTCAACACATTGTAATTACTTTCATACTAGATTTTTTTTTCTCTTTAAATGCACCATGGTAAGCGCTTCCGAGTGAAACAATTTAATAAACACAGAAAAGAAAGAAAAATATGTAAAAAAAATCAACTTTAGTGGAAAAAAATGTTAACCTCACTTTAAAAACAATTCAAATCATTGTAAACAAGTCGAAAAACAAATGAGTATACTTGAAAACAAAGTTTATAAACAAGGTGTGCAAATCAATTTAGTTCCAGTAGCTATCAAACAACAGACAAAATAATTTACAAGAGCTGTCGAGCAAAGAATTAATTATACTTAAAAAACAATCAAAAATTGTCTTCAAATGGAAGTAACTATCGTCATTCAGTCACTACTACATCAATAGAAGAAAGTTAAACAACATCAATATTGTACAGCTTATTTTCGTAGTAGATGGATCAATAGAACTATTGTTATTATTTTTTAAATCATTTTTCATTACTAAAAGTTGAATATCTTATCTTGTAAAACAAGTTTATAGTAACAATTTTAATTTGTAAACATCCAAAAATGATCAATTCTATTTTTAAAGAATAATAGCAGACATTTGAGAGAATATCATAAAACTAATCTCTTTTCGAATGATAACATTATCGAAGGAGAAAATAGTTTTTCTAAAAAACAAGATTAAAAGATTAGTAATCAAATCTGTTGTTACTAAAATGATAGTAAAATACATTTATTTTAGCGATTAAGAATAACATTAAAAAAGAAAACTACTCTTTAGTCAACTTTTCTATGGTAGAAAACTTGTATTGCATATTCGTTTATTTTATATTGTTTAGATTATTGAGTTTTTATCAATATTTGTTTCGTTATTGTTATTGTAGAGATATACTCAAAATTTCCTTTCGTTGACGTTAATACATATGTATTGCGAGTCTTACACAGTCTCTTATATATATATATGAAAGCTGAATTTTTTTCTTAATGCATAAAGTGCAGTTGAACTCGAGTTTTCTTTGTGCCTATTCATTTCTCATTCGAGATAAAAAATATATGTAAAAGAAAAGTTGCAGTTAGTTACCAGTAATTCAATAACTATATCATGGAATATCTAAAAGTTATTTTTTAATGTTCAAGTATAATTTTGACACGTATTTGGTCTATTAATATATAGTGAAGGACGCATCGATAGTATGTTGTCATAGTTTTATATAGTATTATTTAAACCTCATTGATTGTTTTCTTGATATCTGCTTTAGATAGCAACAGAAAAACAATATTATTGTTTTACATATATCTATTTGTACGATCTCATGATCAATATTATTATAAAATGTTTTTTTTTTAGAATTAATGAAGCTCTTTCTAATTAAAACTTAAATAATTATTTTCTTCTGTAATGTTAATGTTTTTCAAGTATTGTACGTAGAAATTATATGTGCGCTTTGGTTTGCATTTTATTGTTAGGGAAACATATTCTGATTGAATAAGATGAAAATAGTTTCTTTATTTTATTTTATTTTTTCGTAAGAAAAAAATAATAATAGTTTGCTAATGGATAGTAGATTCATTTTGATCAAATCGAGTTCTTAGCATATGTCTCATAGCTATGGATTGAGGACCAACTATTCTTTGGTTTCGTTGACCACAAAGAAATTTTTTCACTTTCTTCCGAAGTTTCGACAATGATCCACAACAAACAAATGGAAATAAAAATATTATGTAACACGAGAAATAATAGGCATAAGATCTAATTCTAATTATATAATCGACTGATAAACCTATTTCATAGGATAGATCAATTAATGTCCATGGAAAATTGAAGATAAAATAGAGCATTGAAGTATTTAATAATTGAGTTGCCATTTTTCGTTGTTTTCGCCATTGAATCGATCGATTCAAACGACTTTTTTCATATAAAATGCGAAAACAAAGAGCAATACTAAAAATAACAATAACAAACGTTGGAATAATTTGATGACATATAAGATCGAATTTGCCGATAATTGTCTTTTCAATTATACAAGGAATAGGAACACCGTTGATATACGAATGATAATACAACTGTTTGCATGGTGGAAAATAAATGATAAAACAACAATAGATAAAGACATACATGAGAAGTGTAACTAGTGGTAGATAATGGATAAAAAAACGTTTCTTTTTTGTTGATATCCACTGAAATTCAAATGTAATTATATGCCTTTCAATTGTAGCCCATGCAAAAATAATTATTTGTGCCGTATACAATGCAAAATCAATGTATGTCCAGAATAGAGAAACACTAGGCGTTAATTGCCAAGAATCACCAAAACGATAGTAATGAAGAGTTAATGGAATATCTATTAGTTCAAATAGGAGACCAATGAATAGAAGAACAATGAATACATGATTATGCAAAGCTTGACGACGATTTCGATGAAATAAAAGATGATGAAGAACGAAAAAGGAACATAAAATAGATAATACATTTGGAATAAGATAAAGCCAAAATCGAGCAGAAATAGGCAAGGCTAAATCTGAACCAGAATAGAATTCTTCCTGTAGAGTATCATTTTCGTCAGACATGTTGAGAAATAAAAAACCATTGGAAATCAATGAACATTGAACGTGTATCAAATATGAGATGAAATTTCCATTTTTTTTGCTCGAAACAGAGGATCTAATCATATAAATTAGCAAAATATTTTTTTCTCATTTGAAAAGATTTTCTAAAGAACATTTATTATTATTATGGATAGTGTTTTTTTTATTTCAAATTTTTATTTCTTTTGAAATCGTATTATCCCATTCGAATAAAGTCTAGCAAAAAAGTTAATAATAGATCTTATATAAAAATAATCTAATGCCATGTTTTTAAACAAAAATATAAAACTATTACGTGGGGCTTACGACAGATTAAATAAAGAATTTTTATTCCTTTAGAAACGATGAGAGTCCCAATTTTATATCTAACATAAATTAGTAGGTTAATATAAGGACATATTTTTATGTTTTTTTCTTTGAAACACAACTGACAGCAGGTACAAAACCAATTTCCTCAACAACTAAAGATACTTTCAAGATGCTTTGCAGAACAATCATAAGTATATGATAATTAAATCTTATCTAACATGGTTGTAAATTTTTTAATTTAGATGATCAAATTGCTAAACTAATTAGTTGTTTTTTTTTTATAGAAAGTCAAAAGAAATTTGTCATTTCTATATATAAGATGTAGGTGGGATGTTTTCAAGTACTTATCACTTATTAAATTATCATATAGAAATATTTCTTTTCCATAGATAAACTCCTGTATATTAAGCTATGATTTTATTTTTCTTTCGATATTTCTTAGAATCCAATGATAGAGACCTAAAAAAAAAAAGAAATTAAATTAATAAATACTAGCTGAACTTTACGATGACCTTTTTTCATAAATAATGAAAGCACATTGTAAACATAAAATTTAACCGTTATTGCATTTATTATCAGATAAAGAAAAAGATTTTTACTAAAGCTTTTTGATGATATTAAATTATTTTTTCATCTCTATTCATTTTATATATGATAAGAGTTGCAAAACAAAAGATAGAAAACTACCATCAATTTCTTTCCGGTCGTTAATTGACATATTCTTTATCTTTAAATTCATATAGCAATAGTATCCTAAATTTTCTTTTAAACTTATGGATTACCTTGACTTTTTTCTTTACTTATGTATCACTGACAAAATATTTTTGTAGAATAAACTGACGAAATCAAAAAGATATATGATTGCACTCTGAGTATACAACGTATTTTTAATTCTATACATCAGAGATCTCATAAGATGTAATAATATATCATATTCACAACATGTATTATCAATGGCTTCTTTAGTCTGCTCTTATATTTACTCATATTTTCATTTGCATTAGAAAAGATCATAAGGATTTTTTTTTCATCATCTTTAAATATAAGCGTTAATGATGAACCATTTTCATTTGAGATATTATTCGTGTTTCCAAGACATTTTCTATTTCAAAACTCAAAAATAACTACTATTTGTTGTCGTTGGCAAATTACATATGTCATCCATAGTTCACATAGTAATTCAAAAAATATAAAAGTTTACCATAGATATAATTATGAAAAACAAAATATTTACATGAACATTTCTTTTACATAGCAATAACATCACAACAAGTAATAAATGACTGAAGAATATTGCCAGTAAGATGAAAAATTGGAGTGTATTATAAAAATGACCTGCCATTGATTGGCAGTTTTTCTTTTTATTATAGAACACGTATAGGAAGAGCAATAGTAAAGATAGTCATAAAAATATTGAGATAATTTAATACTATATGAGAACTTAGTTACGGAGCCTGAATGATCGATCGTATAAAAAAAAATGAACTTCATTGATTGATAACTGATAGTTCAAGTTTCATCAGTACGAAAAAAAAAAACGTACAAGCTAATGTTAGACGCAAGATTAATCGGTAAATATTGTTAAACGAAGGTTATGGATGAAAGTAATATTGACTTTCTATATTTATGTTCATTAATAAAAAAGTATCACTGTATTTCAATTATGACCGAAATAACGATGAGTATTTGCAGAGGATAAAATTTGTAGTCAATCAATACACAACAATAAGACATTTCAAGTTATAAGTTTCAATGTGCGTTTGTTTTCTCTGTTAAAAGTTAATAATTCCATTCTCGCTACAGCAAAGAACGTACTGTTCATTTCGATCAAACTTTGGAAAAAATTCTCTATACTATTTCATGATTATATTTGAGTTTATAAACTACTATGTACTGTCAATATATGTTCCGTGATAAAAAAACAAAACAAGAAAGAAGACATTAGTTTTCATGTGTCATAGTGCATGTGGAGGAAACGAATAACAAATAAATTAAAACCTGGTTCCTGAAATACTAAATGACGGAAATGGTAGTAGCATATGTGAATAACACACACAAGACAAAGAAAAGTGTTTCCTACATCAATAAATGAACAGGATGTTGCTTTTCTATATTGCAAGAGAATTGCCCACAGACATTATTAAAGAATCATTATATTCGTACATTCATTGTTTGCATACAAACAAACATCAAAGAGAATTTACCTGTGATCAGTAGTATAACAAATTAAGTCAAACTTTACATCATCATCAAAGATAGACCGATTATATTATCATTATCATTATTACATTCCGTCAGTCAATTATTTTGCATCAAACTTAAAAGTACATAAACATAAGAACATCGATTATTATCTTAATTGTTATGTCATTAGTTCTGGTTAACCAAGCGGTAGTTGAATTTTTTGTTTGAAAATTTCTAAGATAAATTCTTTTACATGTATACATATACTTATGTATTTGCAGCTTAAAATTATAGATAACATGAGTTTCCACATAGTTGCAGTTATTGAAAATGCGAATAGTTCGTAAAGATTGACATTATTAAAATTATTTATCTTGATAGTGAAATATAACTTCTAATTGATGCTTCTAACTTTTGTATCAATTTGTGACTTTTCTAGAAGAACATTATATTGGAGAACATCACAATCCAAATTCTCAGCCAAAATGCGATCGACTCATGTCATGCCTACTTGGACTAATGCTTTTTAAAATAACAACAGTAAGAGATTCATAGACTGATGTACTGATACTTTTGTACTGAGAAATTGAAGATAAGTTGATGTCAGTTGTTTTTTCTTGTAATAACACATATGAACATTCTACTAGACGACAATAGATTCAAGTTTCTCCACCAAGGAAGAATAATTATCATAAAAATCATGGCAATGTCATCGAAGAACATCAATTTAATTGTATTTTTGATTAATTAAATTCAGTAACTTGTAATATTCAGTGATAAAATAGGACATCTTTTTGAAGACGTGCACTTTCAAGTCTCATCGACATATGAATTATCTATAAATGGTTAAGGAGATTTCATCAAATCCTTGTTTATTAAAGTCAACTTTGAATATTGTCTATCTGTAAATCAAATGATCGGACAGATCGGAAATAATCTGTATCATATAAATGAATTGTTTTTCTCCATTGTTGAACATTTGTATCAACAACTGTTTGTTTTTTAGTATAAGTTTTCAAAAAGTTCTGTTACAAGCTTTATATAAAGAGTAATACTAAAGTAAAATTATAATATTTCTGACTTATGTCTCACATGAAACCGATGTACTAACGAGTTCAGTTTATTATTATGAGTAAAGTCATACATGCAAAAATCATAATTAAAGTTCATCGTATTCAATTATTCAGCGACGTCATGAAAAATACTATTATAGACGTAGCTGATTTCAGTCCTCATGACCATGTCATTATTGTTATGCTACACAAGCTTTCGATGTTAACTTTTGAGCAAATCCAGATCACGTTATTCACTCACAAAATTAACTTGTGTCACTACTCTCTGATTCCAGAATACCAATTATATGAATTAGTCGGTACAGGTACGTAATTCTGGGTAAACAACAAGAATTATAAATACAATTGAATTTGCAGGAACTTCTTAACAATATGATTATATGAGTCATTATCACAGAATTCATCAATATTTCACTCTTGGACATGAGATAAGAAATTGATAGTATTAACAAGTCACAAAAGATGTATAATTACTGTAATTTTTTTTTCTTTTTAATACCATGAGAGATTTTTTGGTTATTATCGATCTTAAATTGATTTATTAAAAAATTAAAATTTGGTTAGTGTATTGATTAACTATTACCAACTTCATGAGCATATTGTTTTCAAAGTATTATTGATTTTAAGAGGTACGCTAGAATTTCTCGTTCATCTCATACAAAATTGTGAAAAACTTGTATTTTTATTTTTGTAAGAATTTTAACAAATAATATTTTTAGTCTATTTCTAAAAGTTCCATTCGAACATTTGTAATCAATCAGAGAAACTTTTCTTATTGAATAGTAATATAAAATCATTTTGATGAAGTTAATATGAACAACAAAAGCAAATCAATGTAGTGTCTAAATTATTTTAAGGTAGCATCTAAACAGAAAAGATGGATATTATTTAATTTTCAAATTTATATACTGATAATTATTCTCAGGAAGTGAGTTAGAAATTTTAAATGATTAATGTTTCCATTAGACGAGACAATCACAATATTGAAAGTGAAAAGAGCCAGTTGGTAAAGTACAAAATTATAAATTCACATTTGTCTTCCTTTGACATCGTTCTTGATATGAAACATACATGAACTGTTTCAATCGACTCTTATCAAAGAATAGTAAACGATTATTGTACAAACAAATGGCCGGTAAAAAGCCTCATTAACCATTTGATATTTCGGATACTTTGAGTTAATAGATGGTGCAGAAATAATGGTGATATCAGTATTTTCTCAATATCTCAGCCAATTGTCATTATTTTGTCCCTGATTTTTTTTTATAAAAGGATTATGCTTTTAATTCTAAAAATCTATATATTTCTATCAATAAAGGCATGTCCCATAACTTTTAAATACTCAGTAAAAGAATTAATTCAATATCTTCAACTTTCTAACTTCACTTTGTTGACAAATATTATTATCACACAATTTTAATTCTTAAAGTGTAATGTTATTTTCTACTTGAAGTTGTTCGAATTAATTACTAAAAATTTTTCATTTCAAATATAATAATCTCACTAGTTCCTGTGTTGATTGTTCAAAATCCAATGATTATAATAAAAAAGAAATAATGCCGAAACTGTCTTGATACTAATCCTTAGTTAAATGATAGCATATGGGTTTTTATCATCATGTTTAAATCTTCAATCATTGTCAAGCACATTATTCTTGTCTCTTAGTGCAGTAGAGAAACTACTCTGATATAAGAAGCATTCGATAAAGATAATTCTCAGGATTAGCCGAAATTCGGCAAACTAGCGACGGCATTTTTTTTAAGTACACATTTGATTTTGAATAATCAACGCACGAATTAATTTGACTGTTACATTTGAAATGAAAATATTCCAAGTAACAAATTCAAACAACTTCAAACAGAAAGAAAACAACATTATCCTTTAAGAATTAAAAAGTATTAGAACAATATTTCGCAACAAGGCTATGATAGAAAATTGAATATATTGAACTAGTCTTTTCTATTAAATATTCAAAAACTATGGAACATGTTTTTATTGATAGAAATATATAAATTTTTAGAATTAACAGCACAATCTTTTAATTAAAAAAATCAGGTCCAAATGATGAGACCTACATGAGATATTAGAAAAATACTGACACTACTATTTGTTTTGCGCTATCCATAAGATGAAGTTTGATTTAATTAACGCTCGTCTCCTCTTTTTTTTATATACAATACGTTTTCATTACTGATTATCAGGTCGTACCATAGTCAGTCAATACATTGAAAACATAGAAATCTGCAGACCAAAAACATAGTTGTGTAATAAAATAGTGATTGATATCTTTCATTTGGCCATCATTTACTCCATAGAAAAAAAGTCAATACTTTTTTTTTTCAATCACTAGTTATTCTTTAATACTACATAAATAATATTCAGTTTTTGTTCCGCTTTTATCAATACAACTATATGCATCAACTTAATTACATAATCTTTTATTAGACTTTGCAATATTTTATTTCCAGAAACAACGTGTTACAAGCTGATAAAATTGTTAATTATATTAATAGACGGAGAAAGAAAATTCTAGCATAAAGCAACTACACACATATAAATAAGAATACAAACAATATTAATCATCTGTATCACTGTCAGACGAATACGATTCGGCAACATTTGGTTTGACCGTTGTGTTCTTCTTAGTAGTACTACTTGTTGCTCCTTGTTTTGATGAATGTTCATTTGTCGAACTTGAATTATGAATACCACCTCGTGTTGGATGTGATCTTCGATAATCATCGTGTTCGAATGATCCACCACGATGAGCACGACTATCTGCTGGTAAACTATGAGTTGATCCTAATTCATCATCACGACGATGATCTGGTAATGCACCTGTAGAGCCTGAATATTGACTAACAAGAGAACCTATTGTTGTATGTTTCGGATTATTAATTGCCGTTTCACTAACACTTCGTTGAGACGGATTAAGACGATGAAATGGTGCAGCCGTACGAAATTCCTTTAATATGATAACGTTATTTTAAAAAAAAAGAAACAAATATTCCTATGTTTACCTCTAAATCATGAGCAATATCAATATTTAATAATTGCTGATGTGCATATGTATACATTTCCATAGCACGAGCATGAAAAGATAAATTAATTAATGTAAAATCCGTTAAATATTTTTTAATATCAGTTAATTTCATTTGTTCAAATTTATCAATTTCATCTTGAACAACATTATCTGCACGTGATGCTTCTGTTTGTGCATATTCTGCATTAACTTGCATAGCAACAATAGCATCACGATTTCCTGGATTACGATTTGTTGCTTGTTGTAATTTACGTTGTCGTTGAACACCTTTATCTCGTGCATTAATAGCTTTTTGTACGGCTTGCTATTGAAATTTTAACAAAAAAGAAATTAATTTTCTTTTGAAAAATTCTTTGATTCATACTCGTTTAAGTTTTAGAACTTCACCATATTTAGCAAGTGGTTCAAGTATTTGATTTTCAATTCTTGCAATCTATAAATAAAATAAATTTGAAAATAAAAAATTTTATTCTTTAATAAATTTTAACATACAAGTGTATTACGATAATCTTCAACAGCTGATAAATAACTTGCATATTGTTGAAGACTTTGTCTTAATGATGTGTTTATACGTTCACGATCAGCGAATTCAAACATATTTTGAACTAATTGATCATTACATTCGCGTAATCGTGCTTCTTTACGACAAACTTTACCAAATTGTAAACATATACTACCTAAATATTTTTCTGTTTGATTGATACGTTCCAATACGAATTTCGTATTGTTTGGATCACTATTCATAAGATAAAAAAGTATTATTTCATAGTATTAAATACCTAAACAAATATTATTTTTATGTTTATTTACCGATCGTTATACATAACGTTAATCTGCTGCCGGAAAATGGAATAAATGTAAAAAAAAAACAAAAAAGAGATATGCCATGTATGGTTCTGTCATGATTAAAATTACTAAGCAACGATTGAATAGATGTCACTAAGTATTAATGAAAATAGTTTGCAGATTATGTATTTTAGAAAATACTATTATTCAAATTAAGTAATATCGACGAGAAAATTTTGAATATTTCGGAGTAAAGCTAATTATCTGTAACTAAGAAACCAAAGGTCATTATTATCACATAAAAAGAAAAAGAAAATTACCTGTGAATGAGATCTCTTTGACTGGACGTCTTTTTTTCTAAATAGAATTATGATTTAAAGAAGAAAAAACAATCTAATTTTCAATCATTTTCGAAATATTTTAATTTAATTGACTTGTTAAGTTCAAAATTACATTGCAAAAGAATCCACCTTTCATAAGCAAAACTTAGTACTTCGAAAAAAATGTTTCTTTATAGTGAAACTATTGATGTGCATTTTCTTTTAATGACAGAATTCGAACTTGGAAAATATTTCACAAATATCTCATCAGTAATGAACTTTCTCTGACATAGATTTTTATAGAAAGAAAAGATGATGTCTTCCATGTCTAGCATTAGAAGAAACATTTCATAAAAAAACTCATGAGATATTAAATTGAATTTTCCAACAAGTTTTATTTTTCATTTCAGTTATGTTTGTAACTTTGTTCACTGATCTGCCTGATCTTGTTATTCTTGATATTTTTCGTTATCTTTCACCTTTTGATGCAATTCAAGCATTTTATAATATTGATAATAATACCGAACGAATCTTAAATCTTTTAATTGAAGGTCAATGTTTTTCAACTATTCATCATTTTCGTTTATCCTTATTTAATTTTGTTTGTGATTATGTTTTGCCACGTATTGGTAATAAACTTTCTCATTTAACTCTTTATGATCATCAACTTGCATTAGCTCATGAAAAACAAATTTTTTCATATTTATCAAATATTTTATCACTTCATTTAATAAATATAATCGAAATAACGGAAAATGATAATCATCTTTCATATTTTTTACATAAACAATTAAAAAGCCTTACGATTAAATTTCTTAGTGAACATCATATCGAAGCTCAAGCTTATGTATGTGAACAATTTATATTTAATAAAAAATGTGAAAATTTAATTCAGTGTCATTTGTTAAATGATTATGGTATACAACTTCAACACTTAACTTTATTTCCAAATAATTCTATTGAAAAAATGACAATACAATTAAAACAATTGTCGGATTTACATGTACTTTTTGATCATTTATTAAATGTAAAAATTTTAAATGTTGAACTTTGTCGATGGACTATCGAAGATATAAAATATGATTATACAAAATTATCAAAAAAACTTTCTAACTTAATTGAATTTTCTCTTAAAAATGAACATGTATTAAATTTTAATCAAATGACAACAATTTTTCGTTATCTTATTCATTTAAAAAAACTTTCATTTATTTATCGAAATTATGATGAACATGGTATTGATATAAATCAACTTGAATTAACATTAAATCATCTTAAAAATTTAACACAATTTCATTTTATTATTAAATTTATATATTTTAATCTTAATCCAAAATTAACATTTGAAAATAATATTCAATTTAAACAACAATGGAATGTACATACATATAAGAATTCATTATCTAAAAATTATCTTGCATATACACAACCATTTATCAATCGAACATTTTCAATATCAAGTGATACTCTACTTGAAGATAATTCGATAGATTTTCCATCAGTAACTAATTTACGTTTAACGACACATACAAAACAACTTCCTCTTTTACCTACTATACGTTTATTGAATAGTAATTTTCCATCAATTACTCATCTTCATATTGTAGATTCATTTGGGATTGAAGATAATAATAAATATGATTTTAAACTGCCTAAAATTCATTCGTTTGATGCATCTGAATTAAAAATATCAAATTTATTTCAAATATTTTTACAATCTATGCCTAATTTAACTCATCTCAATCTAAATTCGAATGTTTTAATTACTTATGATCTAAAGTTATTATTAGCAAAAAATAAAATCAAACATCTTGAATTAATAACGAATGATTTAGATCAAATCAATAATATTTTACGTCATTTTTCATCCTTGGAACATTTAATAATCAATAGTAAAAAACAATCAAATCAATATACACGAAAATGTTTTCAAATTATTCTTGATTGGTTTCATATATGTTCTCAATTGTATACAATCCATGTCAAAGCACATAAACTATCTGATTTGTTTTATTTAATTCATATGAAAGGTGATGAAACAATGCATGTACAATATTCGAGTGAAATGCTAACTGTATGGAAATGATTTTTGAAAAAAAATTAGTATAGATTGATATACAAAATATATTATAAAAAAGAGCTATTTCACTATTTTGTTTTATATCAGTGCGATTAATATAACAGTATCATCTAAAGTTTAATAGTCTTTTCATGACAGGACAAAGTTTCATTCAATGTTGATATGCAGATATGAGAGTATATCTCAATTGATTGTATTTGTTTACAAGATGAAAATCGATTCAATATATTCGTAACTCTGTTTGATAAATAAAAAATTAAACATTCTACAATATTTAAAATCATTGAATACAGAACAATTTTTAAAATATGATGAAACAAATTACAAACAGTATTTGGTTATTAAATTAGAATGTTAAATTTCTATATTAAGTCACTTATATTCGACGTAAGTTTCATAATCAATGAACTATCTGACACACTTGGCCACTGGAAACATTATTTGACATTCTATTTTTTTCACGATTGCCTTGCCGGATTAGGATGTATTTTCTATAAGATTTTATCATTGTTACTAATATGTTTCTCTCATATTTAATCTAATTATATCCGATCATTAGTACATTTACGTGCCAATTGTTAAGCTTATCACATACTATAAATATTGACATAAAAAAAAATATTCATTTGATTTTCAATATGAATCAATATCATTATAGAATTTGAAATAGTTCAATTCACATTCATAGCTCAGTACTTACTAAATAGTTCGATAGATACTTAAAATACTCATTACCATTATTTAATGTTTAATTATAACACATACAAAAGTAATATTCAAGTTTACTTTATAATTATTCTTTTTGTACAGCTTCAATTTACCACACGACAGTAGTGTGTCAGTATTTATCTATCATCTTACTCTTTATTAAGTAATAGAAATAAGGTTTGATTTCAGATCGTACAAAAAATAAAGAATTTCAATTCGTTTCATGTGGTATCAATGCTTAAGAGTGAAAGAACAAGTATTACATCAACACAACAATTGAATATATAAAACCAAATGAATATTGAATTAAGCATTTGGACACTATCAACAAAAAAAGCATTGAATAATCAAGCAAGAACTTCATTTCTCTGTTCTTCTTTGTTTTACTTTTATTGAACAATGATTTCTCATTCAGTATGAAAATTTGATGAATAAAAAGCATTTTAATCTTTCTTTTTTAACATTTATTTATAAAGAAATAAAAGCAAAAGAAAAAACTATAGCAGGCAGAAATTCATGCAATCTTTCTTTTTTAAAATATACCTGATATTAAAAAACTAAGAATAAAAAAGAAAAAAACTAATTTTTATCACGATCAATATTAGTGGTCACAAAACACGCGTGCAAATTTAGTTATATAAGTGAAAAAATAATGTCTCTGTTTCATTGATTTGTATGCGTCTTCTATTCACAACGATCCTGTCAGTAATAACCTAGAAAAAAAAAACATTCAATAAAATAATATATTTACAGAAATACTATTTAATACTCACGATAAAGGGATGAATATGGCACCGGACTGGTGGCACGTGATCGACGTACCGGACTAATCGATCGGCTTCGAATAGGGCTCGAATAACCTCGACGAGTTGGGCTTGATGCTCGAGAACGACTCTACATTTATTAATCAAATAAAATCATTTTTTTTTATTTTCATAATTTAATATACATACCAATGAAGCACCCCGTTTTGTACATGCTTCGCCCTGCAAAAGATAACAAAATAAATGTCATAGTTGATTAGTTTCTTTTTTTTTTCTTTTTTCAATAATTCAAACTAAAAAAAAAAGTTTACCTTAGCAATAACTCGTGAACCTTGCATTAATGCTGGCCATATATGATGATCAACAAGTGGTGCTGCATATTCCGAATCGTAGCTGCGTCGATATCTTAATTAAATAAAGATAGATAAAATTTTTTTTTTTTATTTTATACAATAAATTTTTACTGACTTAGTTTCATCAAATACTTCAGCGTCACTAGCAAATGCAACATCTAATGGATAAACAAGACATGCCATATGCCAAGCAATGCGACATGCTTCTCGTATATATGTATGAACCAAAGAATAAGTTACACCAAGTGGTAAACTTAATCGAGGATTACGATGTAAATTATCAATTACTTCCTATATGAAAACTTATTTGGTTTCTCTTTTGAATACAATAAAATAAAAAAGAAACAATGTTCTTACTGATATAATAGTAGTTAATTCAAAATAGTCAAGATTTCGATTAATATAATCTTGAGTAGCATCTTCAAGTGAATCAGCAGCTGAAACTGTTATGGCCAATTGAGAACGAAGACGTAATTTCCATTCAACAAAACGACGTTTCGATACCGAAAAAGCTTCCTAAAATATTATAGAAAAAAAAAATTAATTTTAGTAAAAAAACAATTATGGATTTTTTTTATTACTTGAATTATATTAAAACATATACGTTGATTCATTTCATAATCATCGGATACTTGTCGAAGTATGTCAATAGCATCAAGACGTTCTCGTGCATATAAATCATTAAAACGTTGAATTAATGTATTTTCACGAATTTTTTGTAAAGAATCATCTGATGATGATAATGAAAGTAATGAACGTGTTGGTGACAATGAACGTCGTCGTACATAACTAAAAAGAGATTCTCATAAGAAATCAATGTCTTTTTTTTTTATAGAAATGTTTTACGTAGGAATTGGCGAAAGAGATCGAGCTCGTGAACGTCTTTGAGCAAATTCAATATCATCACGTAAACGACGAATTTCTCGTTCGTATTCATCAACCAGAATTGATCGTGGTTTATAACGTTCAAGTGAAAGTCGAAATTCAGCATCACTTAATCTATGCGGAAAAAAAAATTCTTTTTATGTTACTTTACGGAAGTATAGTTACCGTGTTCGTAAATTAGCCAATTCAGTTTCGGTAAAAATCTTTTCATCTGTTGCTTTATATCGTTCATCAATAAGTTCAGCTCGTGTTTGTTCGAGTCTAAAGAAAAATTATTCTTTTTTGGTAAAAACCTAAAGAAAAAGCATTTAATTCTATGTACTCGGCTTCGAGCCGAGCATTGTCAACATTGGCATGACGTAAATCGAGTTCAAGTTCACTTAAATTTCTATCATATTCATTAGCCAATGTTTGAAATTCAGCATCTGTATGAAGATGCGAATATGGATAACGCCACCAAGCCAATGGATATATATCCGAACCGGTATTGCTTAATAAACCATTGAGATAGGATGCTTCAAGGCTAAGAAACGGTAATAAACGTGCCTTGATTGTCGCTTCTCCACCATACACACCGCCTATTAGATGAGGGATAATCATAGAGTAATAGGAAAAAAAGCGTGATGAAAAAACTCAAATGAATGTATTAAAATGAAGAAATGTTTGTTGTTATTCCCCGCCGACAGAAGCTGATATCACCTGGTGCTTGTAGTTCAGAGCAAATCAAACAATGCACAAAGTATATCAGCCATTTCGCGCAAGATTTCTATGTGTGTGTGTGTGTGTGTTGTGTGTATTATTATTATGTGTAAGAAAAAAAAGATAAAATGGAATGAACGTTTCCATCTTACTCAATTGTCGCGCTCGGAGAAACCGCGCGAGTGAGTGACTGAACGAGAGAAAGAGCGAGCACATAATAGCAAAAAAGAAGGAGAGAAGGAGAGAGATAGAGAAAAAAAGTCTGACACCCGGAAGAAAGCATTTCCATTTGACGACGATGCGAAAAAAAAATGAGACCGACTTCTTTCTCCCTCTTTCCCTCTCCATCTCTCTCTCGCTCTTTTTCCCTCTTTTGCACATCATGCACGATGGTTGAACAATCGTGATGAGATTTTTTTTCTTGTCATGGCGCAGCTCGATCGAGCTTTTGCGAGTTTCAATTAGAGAGACAAGAGTAGCGGCAAGACAAGAAAAAGAAAAATATAAGATGAGAAGGGAAGACAAAAAAAGATGTTCTCAACTTGAGAAAATTGCTCGTCACATAGAAAAGAAAAGAGAATATGCTCACAAGAACGGAAAATCGAATACTTTTTTCTTTGATATCTTTTTTTTTGCTATACCCTATTTATATAGTTCACTTTGTTATTAGGTGTCTGTTTCAAGGTGAAACTTTTATTAAAGAATGTAGCAGATGAATCTATCATTATTAAATTCTTTTATTTGTTTTTTTTTAACATAAACCTGATGAATAATTATATCTACCTTATATTTAATATTACTCTCACAACAAAAAAAAAGGTTCAGTCGGAGCGTCTGCTTGAGCGCGCTCGTCAAGATTGTGTTATATATATATGTGTGTGTGTGTCAAAAAAAAAAAAGAATAAAAAAAGAAGAATAAGGCTCTTGCTATTGCCATAGTCAGCCACTACAACTACTATTACTTCTATTTATTTTTTGTCTCTTTCTCTTCTTTATCGTCGATGACGTTGGTAACTTCTTTGTGTTACTGACATCCCGTGTTTCAGAAAATGATGATGATGAAAAAACGCACACAACGGGAGGGAGATCGCTTGAATTNCTGTACCGATGTTGTTGTAGGAAGTAGCTGACAAGGGATGATTGGAAGGGAGAGCTATTTTCTGGATTTCCAGTGATCGCTCGTACATTGAAAGTGCTTTCGAGTACTCGCCCATGTCAGAATACACCAAACCGATGTTGTTGTACGAACCAGCCAAGTCAGGATGATTCGGCGGGACAGCTATTGCTCGGATTTCAAATGCTTGCTGATATGAGGAAAGTGCTTTCGAGTACTGGCCCATGTTAACATATACATTACCAATATTGTTGTACGACATAGCCAAGTCAGGATGATTCGGCGGAAGAGCTATTGCTCGGATTTCTAGTGATTGTTCGTACGACAAAAGCGCTTTCTGGTACTTGTCCATGTTGGCATACACAGTGCCAATGTTGCTGTAGCAAGAAGCTAAAGAGGGATGATTTGCAGGGAGAGCTATTTTCTGGATTTGAAGTGCTTGATCGAAAAATAAAAGCGCTTTCTGGATCTCACCCATTCTATAATACACTCCACCGATATTGTTGTAACACGTAGCCAATTCGGAATGGTTCGGAGAGAGAGCTATTTTATTGATTTCAAGAGATCGCTCGTAAGATGAAAGTGCTTTTGTGTACTCGCCCATGTTCTGATACGCTGCACCAAGCTGAAGATTATAATCTGATTGTTGTTTATCGGAAGTGGCGTTTTCGAGGAGCATCTGATAGAGATGTTCTGCTTTTGCAGGCTCATCAAGTTGAATAAGTATATGAGCAAATCGAACCCATCCTGTTGCCCACATGCATTCTTCTCGTAGATGTGTTGTGAGTTTGTTGAAGTCATCATCTTGATTACCAACGATAGTGAGATGAACTTGCCATAAGCGATCAGTGTTGTCGTCTTCGATTCGTTCAATGCTATCAATACGAAAAATTGTATGTGTTGAGAAGAGTATTTCTTCCTCTTGATTTTTGAAGTAGCTACTCTCGCTTAGTTCGGCAAATGGTGTTGATGATTGTGTGCAAATAGCTGTGTCAATATTCATAATGAAGAGAATGCCTACAGAATCTTGATTCATTAAAGGTAGTTGTGCAAAGTTGTTCAGAGAAATGTCGCGGTTGCGACTCGTTGACAGGAAATTAGTGAAGGACATAAGTCCCCCTTTGGTTTTTTTCATTTTATCAAAGTCCTCTATGGATAAACCTTGTCCACGAAAAACTTGAAAGTTTGTTTGCACACTGTCTTGTTGTTAACGATGTAATTCTGCAATATGAAATCGTTCCTAACATATATCATTGATTTTGTTGTCTTCAAAGCAATAAAATATATTGTGAGTGAATTTTAAAGAAAGCATGAAATATAAGATTCTTTCCTGAACTAATTTGTTTCCTCGACAAAACTGAGACATTTTCTGATACAACAGTAACTACTTGGTGCCTGATATACGTACTTTTTTTTCATCTGTTATATGTTTGAATTGCACTAATAGTGTACCCCATGTCTTCGAAATCGCTGAAAAAAAAATTGCCGATTAATTGTGATTTGTTGATAACTTAGCATTCTATTATTCTCTCAACTGCGGACATGATTTGATCATTTATCTCACTTTTACGGACAGATATAGCAATTTCTATTCATGATCCTAATTGATCAGATACTTTATTTTTAAAAGGTTATTTGTGCATAATAATACAGTAACCACCAGAGACTGTCATAGGGTAGCTTTTTTTGCCCTGCCCTGAAAATGACTCATTCATTTTTGGTTTGCCCTACCATGTCCTCAGAGCAGGGCAGGGCAGGGCGTCTAAACTAAGTAAGCCTAGTACAAGATCTAAAATCTTCATAAAAAAGATGTGATTGCTTTCGAATTTGGTACCCATACTTTATGCTACTTCGAAAGTGCCACAATGAAAGTTATTATGTAATTAAATACCATCATGTACCAGAAAGAAGTACTGTTGTACAAGCTTTAGAAATCATATAATTTTAATGGACTTCGTATGTTTAAAAATATGATGAAAATACTACTATTAGAATCAGATTATTCAATTTTCAACCGTTTTCAATAATGATACGGATGAAAGATGTATTTTTGAAAATGAAACTTAAAAAATTCATTTTTTTCTGAACTCCTTACTACGACAAATAGTACGTGTCATATTAGGTCGATCTTTAACATATCGTGTTTCAACATACGATAATAATTGCTTGCTCAACGTATAAACTAAAATAGCAATAAAACTCATGTTCCACTTCCATGGAATAAAAAATGATGACTTTCTATTACGAAAGTTCATGTAACCCTACTAATATTGACCTTCTATTCATCGCCTAGATTTTTTCTCGCATTTACCTATAGAATCAAAGATTTAAAAAACTATTCTGAGACTCATTTGTCCATTTAGAAAAACGGTTAAAGATCAGATAAAAATTGATTGTGTCTGACGTAAAAGTTAATTGAAGTAGCACTATTTTAGGGTGCCTTTAGTCAGAACTTTCAGTCAAAAAGACAAATTTCATTTAATTGTAAGATTTTTTAATAATATTTTGGGTGAAATAACTTTAATCAATTGAAATAGATTTCTAATAATCATTTATAATTACTTTATTTTGAATCATCGATTATAATAGATGAAAACAGATTTTAAATCGAATGAATCTGTCTATTAGCTGACAAAATCTGATTAAAGTGTGCTACTACAATTGATTTTTAATCCAAAAACAATCAATTTAAATATGAACTTTAGCCTTTTATCGTTGGTAGGCGTTTTTAGAAAATAAATATTGCAGAATACTCAGTTTTTTACTGAAAAATATTGTTTAATAGGAGTAAAGTGACTTTAATTGTAAAACAATTGTCTGTTACTCAAAAACCAAGCTTGATATTAATAAATCTAAAGAAATTTCAGAATTTTTGAAAACAAAATTAGGAATCATATTAGCTTCTATTTTGCCTTTGTTGTTTTCCTGTGAACGAACTTGTAATATAAAATGATTGTTTATTTATCGTGGGTATTAAACTAAGAACGGCTATTTTTCAACAGAGCTGAATAAAGTCCTCTCTTCAGATTGACAGGCAACATTTGATTGGATTCCTTGGTTAAACTTCTTTTTTTAATCCACATACACTTCTTGAGCTGAGCAAGAAAGCCTTCTGATATGAAAAATTCTTAAAAAAAGGTACTAGAAAAATAAATTTGAATGGAATACAAAAGTGTTGATCGAGTAACAAAGTTTAATCGATTGAACATCAAATAATTAGGTTAAAATTCAATAAAAATATTGCCATTTTAATCGGTTTTCTAATAAAAATACTGAATTTTAATCCGATTCTCTTAAAAACTTTTTTTGAATCAGGGTAAAAAGTTTTGCCCTGCCCTGTCCTGTGACGGTGTCTGGTAACCACATATAAGAAAAGATTAAAAAGTTGATACAACACGTTATTATTCAAAGTAAAATCAATGTACGTTCGGAAAAAGGCAAAAAAAGATAAAGAGAAGCTCATATGCACATAAATATATTTTGAATAAATGGTGTTCACAATCATGGATTGAGCAGTCGCATCCGTGTGTGAGGATTGCATCTAAAATACAGCATGAAAATTTAACTTTAGAAGTGTGAATAATTAAAAAAGTGATGGTACAAGATCTAAGTGTAAAGAAGAAAATTAATCTTTAGTAGTTTCACACTTTTCAAGACTTGAGAACATCATCTGAAACTAGATTAGAAAAAAGAATTCTAGTGAAATTAGTAGTCGATCAGAGAATATATCTAGAATACGTTATACACGATGGAAAAAATATTTCGAGCTGGAATAGAATAAATAAAT